ACGTTTTGTTTGTAGTTTATATTTTATTTATTCATGTAATTATCGTAAATAATAGTTATTCAATAATAGATAGTTCATCCATATATTCGTACTTTGACGCGAAGCGCTGTGGATTATGAGATGCTCGATGACCCTGGAGGGATCGATTTTGCTTACTGAGCAGAAAATCATAGATTTAACCCCAAGCTCTTCAACAGCACAATAAATCACCACCATCATGTGTATATTTGATATTAAACATTAACCTTGGAAACTATTTGCATATCAAGCGAAAACGTAGTCCTGTATTGTCGCGAAGCGTTATGGTTCTGAGATGCTCGATGACCCTGGAGGGATCGTTTTTGCTTACTGAGCAGAAAATTATGGGTTTAATCCCAAGCTCTCCGTCATGACTCTTAAAATTCATTATCACTAAACAAAATTAATATGTTCTTTCGATAGCCGGCTATCGAGAGATTAAATAAACAACAAATAAACAATACATACTTTTGGTTGCATCGCCAACTTGAGGTGAATCCTAACCGAATACCCTACCCAACCCTCCAACTCCGTAGCACTTATGAGGATGTCGCTAAGTCGGTGGCCTCTCGTTAAGTAAGTACTACATCAACATTTCCTTCCTTATCCCTAGTTATGGTAAAGATGGGCGTGGCCGGGAATAGCGACAGTCATGCTTCTGTTACTCTTGTTTAGATTGGAACCAATGTTTACTCCTCAGCATTATTCCTGAAAGTAGTCTAACTGAGAATTTCAGAAGAGACGTGAGTGTCTCTAGTATCCAATCTACGAAGTATATCATAACAACGCTAACGCTAACGCTAACGCTAACGCTATGCTTCCCAATCAACACCTAATTACATTCCTTATTGTAGACTGGTATCATCGCCGTTTCCGTCACGCCAACCGAGAGACCATCTTCAACGAGATTCGCCAACGCTTCGAGATCTCTGCACTGAGACGACTGTTGGATAAAGTCGAACGAGCGTGTGCATTCTGCCACCTAACGAAGGCGATCTCCAGACCACCAGCGATGGCTCCGATTCCCGAGATGCGCTTGACAGCTTTCATCCAACCTTTCACATTCACCACGTTGGACTACTTTGGGCCAGTGCTCGTTAAGGTGGGCAGAAGCAACGTAAAACGCTGGATGGCCCTCTTCACTGCCACACGACTAGACCGGTGCCTATGGAGGTAGTACACTCACTAAGTACGGAGTCGAGTATTATGGCATTGCAACGTTTCGTGGCACGTTGAGGCCTACCAAGGGAGTTCTGAACCGACAACGCAACCTGTTTTCAAGGCACTAGCAACGAGTTGAAGGCGCAAAGTAAAGCAACACACAAAGCTCTCTCCGAAAAGTTCACTAACGCGGAAACCAATTGGAAATTCATCCCACCAGCGGCACAATGGAAGGTGCGTGGGAGAGACTCAAGTGGTTTAAGGAAGTGGTTTAAGGAAGTGAAGGATTTGGCGGTAGACGACTTGGTGTTAGTGGATGACGGAACGGCGAGGGACCAGTGGATACGGGGAAGGATCGAGCAGGTCTTCCCAGGACGGGACGGCAGAGTACGCCAAGCGTTGATTGTGCAAAAATGATTGTTCAAATCAATACGGTATTAATTGTAAGTAAGGGGCTGTTCATTAACTACGTAGACAGATTTTATCACAATTTGTTAACTACTAACTAAATCTATCTAAAGCTAACTATTTACAGTTCTTTAAGCTAGTTTCCTATACGATTTACTGTTCAGCGCTAAAATCTAAACCTATATTCTTAATATTATACAGTTAGTACAGTTAAAACTAATGCAGTGGACAGTGGGTATTAAGTCGCAACACTTTCAGAGACAGAACACCAAATTTGTAGGTCGTAAATATCAGGATCGCTATAAAATTAGCCTGAATAAACATTTAATTGCAGCTTAAAGCTCATACACAACAAAAACGCGTTGCTAAACTAGAGTTGGTGAATCTAACCTAACAATGATGTTGAAAGCTTTATTCAAATCGGAGATCCTCGAGCTGAGGCGTTTGTTCATTTGCTCTATAACAGAATTTAAAATAGGTAGGGGGTTTTTTTTTAATCTAATTTCCGACCTTCTAAGCACAACTCGTGCTTTACCTCTCTTTTCTGGACGAGTTTCAATAAAAAATGTTTCTATTAAAGATGACTTCTAAATTTATTCACTTTTCCGTTGGATTTGATAAACAGTCACAAATTGTTGTGATATTTTTTTTTTAATCTAATAGTGCTTCCTGATTCTAAGGCTGTGTTCATTTGATGAATTTTCACTTACATATGACATTTCGAAAATCAATAATAATGTTCGAAAATTCCTCTGTTGATCATCTGATTTTCGAGAAGTTGTTTGTCAAAATTGATTCCTGGTCTGTCAGAAATAAGTCTGGTACAATAGCAGGTTTATTTGAAAATTTTCCATCTGTCATATTTAAGTGAAAATTCACCAAATGGAACACACCCTAAATTCGTTCAACGAGTTTCAATTCCGTCCAATGCATTGAAACGCCATTAGATTTTCTTCGTTCTACGGATAAACGTAGTTTATCCAGCAAAAAGTTCCCGGATATGAGAAAAATAAATATTGGATTCCCTCAGTCTATTGGTACTACTTCTAAACTGTGTAAAATTTTCGTCAATATTCCTCCTTATCCGGCAGATTTTTGAGGGGGTTGATTTGGGTTGATCTCATTGGCCGTGCACATAGAAAATAAATATAAAAAACTACAAGGGACAGCCCAATGGGGTTGTACGCAATGGTGACGTAGGACCAATGACGTTTATATAAGGTCTGGGCCAAAGGGCTTATTGGTGTTAGTGAAATGTGCAAATGTTTAGTGGTGTTCGTATTTTATTGCAATGTTTATCTTTTTACACGAAACAGCTGTTGGCAGTGACGTATTTCTATCTGTTCTCAGTATGTTGGCAGTGACGTATATCTATCTGTTCGCAGATGTTCAGCAATGTTTACAACATTTTTGCTTCTAACACCAGCAAGCTGCCTGTTGGCCCAGACCTTATATAAATGTCATTGACGTAGGACTACGTGCTCTTATTTAATAAATAATATTTATTTACTGCAGCAGGAGCTTGTGTTTTGTGTAGGAATAGGAATTTGAGCGGGGTTCTCTCTGTTTATACTCTTTAGTATGACTATACCCTGAAAAGAACCTTTTGATATGAATTTTATTAGTGGCATGTTCAGAAATTTAACTCTTTTGGAAAATCTTGGTTTCCCTGAAAAGGACCAATGGTAGTACAGACTTAAAGCCTTTGGAAGATGATGATGACGTGTAGGCAGCTGGATCAGCAAATCGGACCGGACAATCCCATATTATTCGGTTCAATAATTGTGCACTTGCAAGAGTCTCGATCCGTCTGCTGCTGGACAGGGGTTGAACTAGTGTCTGCGACAGGTTCGAAGACCGCAGAATATCAGTGTCCACCCAGCTAAAGCTCCTCCCCTTTTTAGTTTTTCTCGTTAAACTCCTTCTCTCAACAAGTTGGTAAATCTTAGCCTTTAGCACAAAGACGCTTAACACTGTTTTCGACGAATTTATGATCCTGTTTAACGGCATGGTTCTTCTCTACTGCGCTAAATCAAACGAGTAGAAATAAGATAGGATGTCGGTAACACGCTCGCATAATTGAAAATTCGATAAATATTTAACGGAAAAATTACAATTAATCGTTAATCCAATAATTGGACGTTTTGGCATCCCTGGAAAATAGTGTAATTTTATGTTTTTTGGTGGTCCTTCGAAAATGTCGAACAGCTGAATTGCAACCAGCAAGTGTAGCCAAGAACCAAAATCGGTGCGATGCTAGCTGTCATTGCTATGACGACGACTGAATAAAGGGGCTTAGAAACAGAGGGGTGAAAGTCAATCCTCTTCATCGATTTCCTCTTTTGATGACCATGACTTCACTAACCTATTTCGTACTATTTCTGCTATGCTCTTCTATCATCCAGAGCAACAAACGTATGAATGAATGTGTTTGCCTTCGAGTTATTAACGAAACAGAAAGTCGTTGAAGAGAATCGGTCAAAATCACTTGCACCCCTGCTTTCAAATTTGGTTACAAGATTACAACTCTGGAGAGCATTTTGTGTGGTTCTGAATATGGCGATAAGTGTGCAAAATGTTACGCAATTTCAACCTTCCATATTCGCACACGCCCAAAGATAGGAGGCGAATGCCACTTCGACTTGTTTCGTCTACTTACGACTCTCTGATGACTGTGTTGGGGAGACAGCATATGCATGTACGTAATTGATGGATTTGTTAGTTATTTCGACGCTTTTGAACAATGATTAACATTTACAGACTTTTTCAATAGTTTATTGTTAAACAGTCAAAAGCATTGCTGTCGGCGCAAAGAAATATTTCTGATCGATTGGTGATAAAATTATTGAAATTGGACAAGGTGCAGCTAAGTTATTCACGTCTAAAATCTTTCATAATTTCGTTACATGTTCCATTTTCGGTTTTCACAAAGTGTACCCACATATAGAAATCACAGACGTAGTCGTAGTAGTTTAAAAGAGATTTAGCATCACAATATTAACTCTCTCAATCTATTGGCATCATTGATTCATTACTCATTCATATTCAAAAACCCAATTCAATGTATCGTGCTATCCAAAGTGCGACTGTACAACCATTCTCTCACCACGTAACATTCGTTCTCGATTTCGCATGCGCATAATGCTTCGACACCAACTTGCCTCCTCTATACCTACTGCGCTGCTGCAGCAACAGACGCGCGCATTTCGGGCAAAGGCAATTTCCCAAATTATGAAGCAATTTCTCCATCTACAGTAGGTATACGGTACCGCAGCAGTGCGACTCTATATCCATACAACACTGATGCTGCAGCAGGTTGTAATGTTTTTTTTTTCGACTGGGCCGAACACTCACTCGAAGTGGGCGAAAATTTTCGCTTTCTTTCCATCTACCTCGAAAAAAAAAACCATCAATTTGGATTTCGTTTTCTCGAAAAGTTTGTTTATTCGTGTAACCTTGCTTCTTAGAACGAGGTAAAATATATCGACTTCGCTTTAGTCCGGTAACATAAATCACAACGTAAACAAACGCTTTAGTCTACGACTAACAAAAACTGACTTGTATAAGCTAATTACCATTATAATACAGCGTGTAAAATCAAGATCATTCGAAATTTAATGGGGCGCTTGTGAAAAATGAACTTGCTCGAATGCGTTAAGATATTCGAGATACTGTTTGCAAATTCTTACTTAATCTTTGGAACTATATAACTTACTTCTTCTAAACAACGACTGGACTGGAGCAAACTGAGGGTAGAGTGTGCGGTGCAAGTTGTTCCTAACCGCCAAATGAGGCCCGAACCGCATCGTACGCTTTGAGGATCAGGCTTCGTTTGCGGGTTAGCAAGTTGCTCACCTGTTCGAATTTATCCTCATTGCGGCTGAAGTACTCCATCGTGTCCCGTTCTAGTTGGCCAATCTTCTCCGGTCGGGTTTCCACCATCGAGAGGAACTCCGTTAAGTACGGATTGAAGCGGAAATAGCGCCCCGGTGGCAACAGATCGCTCAGTGTGGTGTGGGTTGCTGTCAAGGGGGGAAATAAGCGAAGGTATGCGATATTTTAATGGATTGAATATAAAGCACAAGTTACAATTGTCGATATAGTGATATAAGGAGGGGCAATATTTTGTTATATCGTCATTAACTTTTGCGTACACAACGTTTACATTTGGATAGATTTCCAAATTCAATTAGCTTTAAAAAGATCATTTTGGCAATAACGCGCATCAAAATATCTTTTTTTTTTGTATGTAGAGTAACATTACTTACTTTTCCGCACTCACACGGCCAATGAGATCGACCGAAATTTAAGATCAGTTTATTCATAAATCAGGAAATTTCATTTCATTTTATTTTTTCATGTGGAAAACCTAAAAAATCTGCCGAAAAATGAGTAAAATTGACGAAAATTAAAATCAGTCTAGGAGTAGTACCAATAGACTGAGTGAATCCAATCTTGACTTTTCTCATATTCGGGAATTTGTACCTGGAAAAAACTGGAAAAACTCAAGAAAATTTACTCAGCGCTGAGTTCCTGCACCTTTTGTGATTTATGAGTAAACTGAACTCAAATTTGGGTTGATCTTATTGGCCGTGGGGCTCAAGTTCCTCACAAGTTCCTACCTCACGCCTCCACGAGTCATATGATCACAAAAGACTGCTAGCTGAAACATGGACACAGCTGGTTGGCGTAGCCTGGGCAATGTTGTCAATCCGACAATAGCAGAGTGAGGAGGTGCGACGCGAACACTGGCGCGGTAACCATAGCACGGTGATAGAGGAAATGCTTCGCCAACCCGAGCGTCTGTTCACCATGGAGGTGCGGCTCAAACAGCGTCTGACTGACATCCAGCGGCTGAATAAGAAATGCTCTTCCCCGGAAGCTACACCTAAGATGGCAGCCCCATCACGGCGGATAGGAGACCTTAGGCCAACCACCTACTGTCTCTGAAACCTTTACAATTATTACAGAAACTATCAGAGAAAGACATCAAACTGATTTAACGGCAACGACTTTTAGCGCAAAACAACGGACACGAATTGGATCATGGAATGTATTGACGTTAGCCCAGCAGGGTAAACTGGCACAACTCGCCAACGAGACGCGACGCATGAAGCTAGAAATCCTGGGACTGAGTGAAGTTCGTTGGCCAAACTTTGGAGAACACAAACTGCCGTCGGGACAGGTACTACTATACTCTGGTATTCGAGGTGAAAACGCTCCCCGCCATCGTGGAGTTGGTCTCCTACTTAGCGTCCAGGCAAGTGCTGCGCTCATCAAGCGGGAGCCTGTTAATGAGAGGATAATCGTTGCCAGATTTAGAACACGGGTTCGTAACCTTACCATAATCCAATGTTATGCGCCAACCGATGCTGCCGAGCTACAGGACAAGGAGAACTTTTACAGTCAACTGAATGCCGTCGTGGATAAGGTTCCAACGGGTGACATCAAGATCTACACTGGCGACTTCAATGCGAAGATCGGCTCTGACAACACGGACTATGAGCGTGTCATGGGACGCCATGGTCTCGGCGAAATGAGCGAGAACGGTGAGCTGTTTGCAGAATTTTGTGGCAATAACGACATGGTGATCGGGGGCTCGCTCTTCCCCCATCGGCCAGTGCACAAAGTCACGTGGGTTTCCCGTGATGGACATACCGAAAATCAGATCGACCACATCTGCATCAGCCGAAAATGGAGACGGAGCCTTCTTGATGTTCGGAATAAACGCAGCGCCGACATCGCGTCTGACCATCACCTTCTAATCGGTGAAATCCGCCTACGCATTGCGCGGATTCAGCAACGGGAGGAGAGACTCGGGCGGCGGTTCAACACACGCCGACTTGAAGATCCAGCGGTAAAAAGGTCTTTTGTTGAAGAACTTGAGACTCGAGCTGCGGCCGTTCCAGAAGGTGGCAGCGTAGAAGAACAATGGACGGCCATCAAGAATGCCTTTATAGAAACAAGCGAGAACAACTTGGGTGAGCTGCGCACCCAGAGGAGAGAGTGGATCACAGATGAAACCTGGCGGAAGATTGAGGAGCGTAGAGAAGCAAAAGCTGAGATAGAGCGGGCGAGAACCAGAGGAGCCAAGAACGAAGCTCGTCAACGGTACTCGGCTCTAGAGAAGGAAGTCAAGCGCTCTTGCAAACGGGACAAGCGAGCGTGGGTGAACTCCCTGGCCGACGAAGGAGAGAAAGCCGCAAACACTGGCGATATACGCCTCCTCTACGATATCTCACGACGCCTGAGTGGAGCAAGGATGAACCCGAGGATGCCAGTGAAGGACACGACTGGACAATTGCTTACCGACCCCACTGACCAGCTGAAACGCTGGTTTGAGCACTTCGAACAACTTCTTCAAGTTTCGACGGCCAACCAGCCATCAACATCTCGGCATGATCCGCCTAGGGTGCGGCGCATTACTCGCGTCAATTCCAAGGCCCCATCACTACAGGAGATTGAAGCAGCTATCCGAAGCATGAAATCCAACAAGGCTCCAGGGGTCGATCGCATATCAGCAGAGATGCTCAAAGCTGACCCCATGCTATCCGCACAAATGTTGCATCAACTATTCTGTAATATCTGGGACACCGCGACTTTTCCGGTCGACTGGATGCAGGGCATCTTAGTGAAGGTCCCAAAGAAGGGGGATCTGACTGTGTGCGACAATTGGCGAGGCATCATGGTACTGTGTATTGTTCTCAAAGTTCTGTACAAAGTTATCCTGAATCGGATACAGGAGAAGATCGACGCGACTCTCCGACGGCAGCAGGCAGGATTCCGTGCCGGAAGATCTTGTGTGGACCATATTGTCACGCTCCGCATCATCCTGGAGCAGGTCAATGAATTCCAAGAGTCCCTTTATTTGGTATTCATTGACTACGAAAAAGTTTTCGACCGTCTCAATCACGAGAATCTGTGGGGCGCCCTGAGACGCAAGGGAGTCCCGGATAAAATCGTCAACCTCATCGAAGCGCAGTATGAGGCTTTCACGTGCAGAGTTCTGCATGACGGAGCCTTGTCCGACTCTATCCGGGTAGTCGCTGTGTGAGACAAGGATGTATACTGTCACCGCTACTGTTTCTCATCGTAATCGACGAGATCATGGTAGGTGCAATTGACCGCGTACCGAACCGTGGGCTGCTTTGGCAGCCTATCACCATGGAGCATCTCAACGACTTCGATTTGGCTGATGATGTTGCTCTACTAACACAACGGCGCTCTGATATGCAGAGTAAGCTCAATGACCTAGCCGAACGCTCCTCTGCGGCAGGTCTCACCATCAACGTCAACAAGACCAAATCGTTGGATACCAACACGGGCAACCCTTCCAACTTTACGGTAGCGGGGCAAGCAGTGGAGAAGGTCGAAAATTTCCAATATCTTGGCAGCCAAATAGCGTCGGACGGCGGGACCAAGAGCGACATAGGTGCACGAATCAAGAAGGCTAGGGCTGCCTTTGCGAGTTTACGAAACGTATGGAGATCCAACCAGATAAGTCAACGTACCAAAATCCGAATTTTCAACTCGAACGTGAAATCTGTGCTGTTATACGCCAGCGAGACGTGGTGTGTATCAGCGGAGAACACTCAAAAGCTGCAGGTCTTCATCAACCGATGCCTGCGATATATAATTCGTGCCTGGTGGCCTCACAAATGGATTTCGAATGCCAAGCTCCATCGTCGATGTCATCAGAAGCCGATAGCAACAGAAATTCGAGAGCGAAAGTGGAGGTGGGTCGGCTACACACTTCGACGGGGCGGAAACGAAATTTGCAAACAAGCGCTGGATTGGAATCCGGCAGGACATCACAGCAGAGGCAGACCCAGGGGCTCATGGCGGCGGAGCCTGAATTAGGAAATTAAGCAAGTCGATAGGAATCTGACCTGGGCCCAGGTCAAGGCAAAAGCGAGCAGCCGCCCAGGATGGAAGTCTTTCACGTTGGCCCTCTGCACCGCTGGTGGTGCACAGGACCCTTAAGTAAGTTATTGGTCGTGCTAAAGCGAGCGGAAAACACTTTTTCAGCACTTATTATTGTCAAGTGTCACTTTTCGACACTGTTTTGAATAACATAATGGCCTACTTTTCATAACTACAATAACGGCGTGGAAAAGTACTACTTTTCGACACTCTTTTTTTTCGTGTTGAAAAAATCTTCTTTTTGCAACTTGTTTCATAAATGATCTTATGACAAATGGCCAAATGGCCAAATAGATAGATGACTGAATGACCAAATAGACAAATGGCCGAATGGACGAGATTACAGGGATTACTTTTATGAAATTAAAAATTGCACAATAGATGAAATAATCGTGCTGTCCTTTTAACCATCTAATGCCCAAATTTTTGTGTTGTTTCTACATACAGTATTATGGGCCACCCATAATTATGGGCCACCGGAAAGATCGCAATAGGCCGCGCTTGAAAGTTGACGTGTTTTTCTTTTGCTGCGTATTTTTCGTAAGCGAATTAAACACTTTTTGGCATTAAATTTGTTAATTTGTGTGCTGAAATTTAGTTTCAAGTATCCATAAAGTTATCATTTAGTGATATATCGTGTTTTGCCTGTGTTTGCCTTGAGTGGCTCGGTTGACCTTGAATCTAAACTCCAAAATATACGACGAAGCTTCAGTTCTATTGTTCGGTGTCTCCCGGGAGCCTGGTTCTCCGCGTTCGGATTCTACACTTTCGGCGTCTAGTTCTATTGAGAGATCGCTCCGCTTGGTGAACTAGCCCGGGAACGTGTTGATAATGTGTCCGACGCTAGTTTTGCTGGTGATTCGGTGGCCGACGTTGCCGTGAATCAGCAAGTTTTCCGCTTACGAAAATGCTCGACTGCTGATCTCTCGCCGGGGTCGGAGATTGCGAGCAATATGAAAGATGCCTTGCTGGATACGCCCAAGACTGGACAGGTGGCAGTTGGTGGCTGCGAACTGTTCCTAAGGAAAGCACTAAACGCGAACCTCCTCCCAGATGACCATGGCGATGCAAGTGATTTGTGTTCGTTAAAGGAAGTATTACGACAAAAGTGCATCACGAAATGAGATGCAAAACTTAGAGAAAATCAAAATTACGGAACCCATGGATAGCAGGATCAAATTATCATGGTTAGACAAGTCCAAATACATTTTACAATTAAAAAAAAAACATGATCTAAATACGTGCCAGGTTTGCAAAGAATATTTTCGAACCTGGAAGCGTGTATGTAATACCAATATCCATTTGATAACCGTGATACATACATGCAGGACTTATTGTAAGTGAAAGTAAACTCGGAATGGGCGTGACTCTCCAGACATTCTGAAATGGGTTGCTGGATCTGCAATAGAGCTATCACTTTCTAACTCCCGGACTAAAGCTGTCTACAATAGTCATAAATGCGATATTGTAGAGAGAGTTCTTCCATAATAACACTGCCGGCCAGTGGGAGTTAGAGGGAATACACACACACACACACACACACACACACACCCACAATTATGGGCCACTTCCATTTGATTAACACGCAGAGCTGACTGACCCATAATAGTGACTAGTTGGCCCATAATACTGAGTGACTGTACTTTCTTTCGAACGTTGAAGGCCGTGAATGCACTGAGTTAGAGTGCTTTAAAAAAATCTGCCCGTACAGCTGTCATGCCGACCGGAAGACTTACTACTCACCTTCCGTATCCGTTGCCGAGTCCAAAATTCGCAAAAACTTCGTCTTCCACGAGCTGGAAAGCGACGTCTGCTCGATAATATTCTTGCTGATGATCTTCTGACCGTCCTTCCAATCGCGTGGTCTCGTTCGGGTTCTGCCCGTCCCGAACGATACCACGCACTGGATCGCCTCATCGGGCCACAGGCATTTCGCTTCGTGGATGGCCACGGCCGTCGGATTATTATAGAGAATGCCTCCGTCCTGGTGGAGTTTGCCCTCCAGCTGGAAATCCCCGAAATAGGCCGGTGCTGCCGAAGATGCCCGTACCACCTCCCAGAGGCGAGCCGAATGGCTACCGGAGTACACTGACTGCACGTTCAGTGGGAACGCGTAATTCCTAAACACGTGCGCATCGATATACTCGTCACAAATGGTGGTCGACACACAACAGAACTAAGCAAAAGGGATTTTGATTAAGTGTCAGTTTGATTGGACTGTTTTGCAAAAAAATACCTTTGGAACATGGGCTAATTTCGACGTATCTATCATTCTACAATATCCAACGTGTTGCTTTAGTAAACTTTCCCACAGATCGATGTCGTAGTACGCATGAGTTGACATTAAACGGGATGCACCGGTCAGCATGTCCAGCGTTGTTGGCCGGTGGAACATTTTGTGGCTCATTCTCTTGTACAGGTGTATGCTTTCGTCCAGGGTGAGTTTCTTTTCGGATGCTACGGATATCCATTATGAAAGGGCTGCAATGTGTAAAATCTATCAAACCCACCTAAAGCACACAACAGAATTGCTCCCGTCGATACTCCGCACACCAGATCGAATAGCTCAAAGATCTTTCGGCCGGTCATCTTCTCCATCTTTCGGAGCAATTCAGCAACGATAATACCTCGAATTCCGCCTCCATCAACACTGAGAATTCTAATGCCCGGTCCGCGCAGTGGAGGCACATAGCCCATCAGGGCCAGTCCAAGCCGAGCATGCTCAACAATGACCGGATCCGGCGAATACTGCAACTCTTTGAGCAATTCTATAGCTCCTTCCCGTATGGCAAATTTTTTCTCAGTCGGTGATCGTTCCAACTTGTCCACCAGCTCGTGGAGAACCTGTCGCTGGCGGTCAACTGGTATAGCCTGCCGTCGCAAATCCATCAACGCGTGACGCGTTTGTGACTGATTCGAACGCTACAAAAACAAAACGCAGAAGATTATATCGATTTCATAAGGATGGCAAATTACATAATTTCGAAAATTGTGGGAGCGAAGAAAATCAATAGATCTTCAGTACATCTGACTGCATCGGTACATACCGATTGCAGCTTTGGCAGTTGTTCCGGCCCGTTCCATGATTCCGACGGAAAGATTCTACTGGCAACTATTGGCAGTCTACTACCTGTTTACAGAGAACGATATCAAAAAGGTACAACACACAAGCATTACACTCTTCTTCAAGGGCAACATAGAAGGTAACGATCCACTCAAAACAAAGGGAGAGCCTGCACCACCCATCCCAAACTATCAAAAAACAACATAATTTTTCTTTTTGTTACCACAACGAACCAATTAATTTCCAACTGCTCATGTTTTACCACCTTTCTGCACTAGAAGAATCCGATTTTGGACGCAGATTCATTATTTTCAGCAGAATGAAAATTTGAACTAATAAGAAACAGAAGACTCACAACATAACTCGGATCACGCCACTGCCAAATGGTTGTGTAAAAATGGATGACTACATGCACTATATGTCCACCAATACCATCAAACACACACCCAGTCAGGTTTCAGGTTTATGTATGCACGACGAGACCATAATAATAACCACAGCCAAACATAGCTTCCGCTAGTGTGAGTGCGATTGTATGCGGCTCGGTCTCGAATGCGAATGCGGGAAGCAAAACAAATACGTGAAAAACCTTCAGCTCACTCCACACTTTTTATCCATCTGTATGAGCCGGGTAAGCGAACACGTTGCTCGATGGGTGGATCGGTGGGTTGTGTTTTGAACGATTTTATCCGGCCGGAATGTGTAGGGTGGGTGAGCTAGTAGTGCGGGTACTAAGGCAATTTATTATTTAACAAATAATTATACGATTTGCATATAATTTTTATACACCAATCTAGAGCTTCCATTCTATATTTTGCTAGAAAAATGTTACATTACGATTAACTAGTATACGTTTTACGAAAACTCGTCCACCATTAATAGGAACACTGTTCCAGTAGTAGTGGCAGTTGCTAACTTTGGTTCCTATAATAGTGGAACGCATTGGATTCTTATGGATTCCACTTTTGTAGGAACACTATCACATCTAGAGATGCAAAGGATCTTAAGGAAAATCAATTGTTTTCCGTCATTTTTAAACTAGTTTTAAGTTTGAAATATGCAAATCTGCTTTATTTTAGGAGAGCTACCGATGAAAAATTACCGTATCTGGTTTTCCCTCCCACAACCCTCGTACCGCAACGGTAGGTTCACCACTATTACTGCCCAAGTAGCAATTCTGTTTTATTAGGGTTCAGTAGATCATGATTTAGACTTGTAGAATGCTTTAAACCCTTGATAAAAAATGCAATGTAACTTGGTAGAATTATAAACCAGTTAGAAATGTTGCTGTCAAAACCGCATAAGAATTATACTCATGAGTGCTTGATTATTGAAAAATGACAAGAAAGCTAATGATAGGTAGTTTCGTCTCGTGATAGTGAGAGGACCTGTTTTCTCATCGTCACATGACGGCCGTGATATTTACCAGCTCTGGTCAATGGATGACAATCGATGTCCGTCGGTGATTGGCACTAGATTGCGGAACAGAGACCGACGTAAAGGAAACAAAAACTAGGTTTAGGAAATTATCCTCGTTTTGACGCATGCTACCATTGCCATTTTCAATCATCACGATGTTTCTTACGATCTTCCAATTAATGATTTGCTATGTAACTTCCATGAATATAGGGTGCATGACCCAGGCAAATTCAGAAACACTAGGAAAGTTGCAATTTATACCACAATTATAAAACAATTTATTGTTCTTTATTCCCATGCTAGATATTGAGGTGCTCATAATATCTCTGAGTGATGCAACCCGCTTTCTCCCTGTTAACTGGGCCACATTATGGAACCAAGTCGATGATCATGCGAAACACATCTCCAATGCCTATTCTCCTAGTTTTACAGGAGGTGACTTTGTCCATATTCCGTGATGGTTTTCATTGCTAATGGCAAGACCAATTAGTACTTCACGTGGATACCACGTGTGTGACGTATGTTTTTATCTAAAACCTTTGAGTTTAAACAAAAAATCTGGAGATCTCCGTTCAGACGCCAAGACTCAATGATTACAATAGTAACATAAGTCCCCGTAGCGTGGGTAGTTCACCTTTTCGTGGTACGTTACGGGATGTAAGATCTACCACCGATTCCTAGTCCTGACTACTTCAAACTAGAGGAACAGGATTTTTCAGTAATCCAAGGAACACATCTTAGTCCTTGTTACTTTTTATGCCTTGTTGATAGTGACAAGACTCGGCTTTGTATACCGAGGATGATCTTGAAACAAGGCAAAAAAAATGAGTTAGTTGTCTTCATCTATGTGATTCCTAATCTTCTCTTCGTTGTTCCCTAGTTTGAAGTGGTTAAGACTAGGGTTCTGATGCATGGTCATTATCGGTGTCATACCTTAATTTTGTTGCTAAGAAATCCAATTTTGACTGACAAAGGGGCGCGCCTTTGGAGGGTGTTTCAACACTCCGAAGGGTATAAATAGCGGGACCTTTCAATTAGACTCGGATCCTTGCGATAAATGCAAGAGTGGCAACTGTAAAAAAATCGAATACTTCATCATTTCTCAATAGTGATGGAGTAATACGACATGCACTAAATTAAGGACACGGGATATACTACAATAGATCAATTTACTGGTCGCAGTAGTGTTGGGTCCCGAACAGAGAAAAAAAAAAAACATAAGTCGAAACAAGAATAATTAACAATACAATGGGGTAAATATATAAACAGTACCCGTTTGATTTTGACAACAAGCCCGAAAATTTAGTGTTGCCAAAATTGAATAGTTTTATTTTAAAATTTCGTCAATTTTGAACCACCGTGCGACATGTTTATGACATACATGTAATTAATAATTAATCTTTTATTAAAAATTGTAATCACAAGGAGTAAAAATACATTATTTTTAAACCGTGCCAAAATCGAACGGGTACTGTATTTGTAAACAAGCAGTTCGTGAGCAGTTAATCAGATCACATTCTAAATACAATCAAGTCTGATTCTCTTTATCGCGATATTCTTCTTAACTCGGTGGAAATCCAGGCCACTTCAAACACATTTCCCATGCAAAATTCCAAAATTTTCCACCGTTACTCGAAATTCATTCCTAACTCGATGATCGCAAATATCTAGTTAGAAACAGAGTCGATGTTATAATAAGAGTTCCGCCAAGAGTGAAGCCAGAAGTACCAATCGAACTGTCAAGCGGGGTACCAAACAAGCGAAGTAAATAAACATTATTGTTCCCACAGCCAGTGAACTACAAGTATTGCATTCATTACTGACAATATTTTAGTAAGTTTAGATTAAAAACATTTCTTCGCTTTATTTAATACATTGTGATATTTATAAGTTATACCAAGCACTTGTTTGAACCTTTTTCAGGTTCTTTAATTATTTTTGTCCCCCAGAAGCTTTGTTATCGACATGAAATTTTTCACTTCTGAATGAAAGTCATCCGATGCTAACACAAAAAAAATCTGGTTTCCGTTTACTCTGACGAAAAATATATCACAAACAGTGCTGCTTGTTCGCAACATTTTCTCTTGGCGGGACTCTTATTATAATATCGTCTCTGGTTAGAACAAGTTAACTGTAATAAGATTTACATTTATTTCACTCTCTCGTTTACTCCCTCTCTCTCTCCCTTTCTCTCTCATTATCTCTGCATACACAGCAAAAAAAAATAATTTTGTTATCACGTCAAAGTGGATGCACTACAATCATGTCGAAAATATGGTGTAATATTACTTGCTAAAAAGGACAAAATTATCATTAATACAATGCATGAACTGGCATTACGCTGCTTTTACTGCATTTGTTTATTTATGTGGTCATAAAAATTACATGAAATTTTCGACATGATTGTAGTGCATCCACTTTGATGTGATATCAAAATTATTTTTTTGCTGTGTATATCACCGCACGGATACTGATCGCGATTTATAAATATGTAAAGCAAACCCCACACGGTAAGAAATATTGTCAATACTTACAAGTATTGACAATAATATTGATGATGTGAATACAGAAATATTGTCAATACCGATTTATTGACGTCAATATAGAATATATTGACAATACGATTATTGTCAATACAAACAGTCGTGTAGGGTTCACTTAAGCGTAAGTCCATATGTGGGAACACCCCGGTGAGAAGATATCGTAAAATTGACAATATTTTAGCCCAAAGGGTCACACAATCACGTATTTACTTAAAAGCTCGTCGTTGGACATTTGTGACTTAAAGGGTGTCCACGATGAAATTGCCACACACAAAATTGATTCGCAAAATTCGAGTTTTCATCCGATTGCCATCAAATTTTCAGGGATTGAGAAATAACTATTAAACTTCATTTTACCATTTTACTCGTATTTTATTTACAGTCCATACGCAAATGCCCGCAACCTTGGCCTTAACCCCGGCCATAAGATTCTGCACAACCTGTGAATCAACCGTTTTTTGCATGTAAACCCATACTTTCTTCAGTTCCTCGACTGTCTTCACTGCCTTAGGTCGTTTAAGAAGGTGCTGCTTCATAATCGCCCAGTACTTCTCGATGGGGCGGAGCTCCGGAGTGTTGGGAGGGTTGAACATTTTCGGAACGAAATTGACCTTATTGTCCGCATACCACTTCAGCACGTCCTTGGAGTAGTGGCATGAGACCAAATCCGGCCAGAAGATTGTTGGGACGTTGTGGGCCTTCAGGAGATGAAGCAGCCGCTTCTGGAGGCACTCTTTTATGTACACCTGTCCGTTCATCGTGTCCTGGGTCACGAAAGGTGCACTCCGCTTCCCGCACGTGCAGATGGCTTGCCAAACCAGGAATTTCTTCGCAAATTTGGACATCTTCTGAGTGTGGACATGCTCCGGAACGCTGAACTTATCCTTGGCCGTGAAAAACAGGTTGCCGGGGATCTGTTTGAAGTCGGCCTTCACATATGTTTCGTCGTCCATGATGCAGCATTCAACTTTCGTCAGCATGTTGAGGTACAACTTCCTGGCACGGGTTTTGGCGGACTTGTTCTGCTTCTCGTCGCGATTAGGGGCCTTTTGTACCTTGAACGTTCGAAGCCCAGCCTTAGTTTTGGCCTTCTGGACAAAACTTCGGCTTAGGTGCAGCTTCTTAGCCACATCTCTAACGGAGGCGTTCGGATTTCGGTTGAAGGCCCCAACTACGCGGTTGTGATTTTTGGTGTTGTACGGAATACTTTTTCCTTCACTTCTGGGCTTCCGATCGGTGGTCAACCGTTCCTCGAACCGCTTAATCACTCGCGACACCGTGGAATTCGCGATTCCCAACGTTTTAGCGATGGAACGATGCGAGAGATCCTTGTTCTCGTGATGAATGCGCAAGATTTTATCACGCACGAGCTGTTCTTTCGACTCCATTTCCGCGAGTTTTGATCACAGG